AGGGAGGGACTAGTCCTTGGAGAGGGACAACATGCTTGGGAGGGTAGAAGGACAGGGCAAGAGAGGAAGAGTATCGATGAGATGGATTGATTCAGTGACTAAGGTAATGGGGTTAGGTGTGTCAGAGGCAATAAGGTCGGTGCAGTATAGAACTTGGTTTAGAACTGTTGGACACAGGGTCACTCTGAGTTGCAGGCGACTTGATGGTACATAACAACAACATAACAAAAAAAGTGAAAACATTTAACTTTGCTACTTAGCTAAAAAAACAGAAAATACTGGTAAGCACCTAAGATGCCCACTGAGGACCCTTTAGCACCTATTCCTTAGTTCTTGTCATTTACTCTCCCAAGGAAAAAAAAAGGATACTCAATTTCATCTTAATTCTTACTCTTTTCTTTTTATTTATATACCCTTTTATGTCTAGATCCCTAAACAGTACATTAGTTTTACACTTGAACTCAGGAGAATCACTGTATATGTTTCTTCTGGGACTTGCCTATTAAACTCAATATTATGTTCTCGGGGTCCTTCTTGCTAACGAGCTCTGTTTTTGGCTCATTCCTCCTTATTGTTGTATTCTAGTCCTTATCCATCCTGCATCTCTTAATTTGCATTCCTAACAAGGTGATAGTGACAACTTCAGGGCTGACAACCATACCATTCTTTCAGAATCATTATTCTAGGAATCTCAGTTACCTACAGCTGACATAACAGGAATTCAGTAAGGGGGTGGCATTAAAAACAGAATTTTGTGTTCTCATAGTTCTAAAGCCTAAAAGATCAAACTGAGGTCCTGCCATCACTGACTCTTCAGTTTCTGGCAGTGATTTTGTGAGTACTGGTGGACCTTCGCATCTGTCCTCCCTATGTGTGTCCCTTGTTGGTTCTGCTCTTATTATAACTCAGAGATGATTAGGTTTAAGATTCGTCCTTCCCTGTTATATTCTTAATAACATAAGAAGATAAAAACTTTATTTAGAAACAAAACCTCATTTACAGGCACGAGGGCCAGGAATTCAATGGATACTTTAGGCTAGCCACAATTCATTCCATAAATTAAGGTACATTTGCAGGGATACAACTGCCGGGTTATAGGACATGTTTATGATTAACTTCATGAGGTAGGCGAAGCTGTCTTCCAAAGCGATTCTACAAATTCACAAACCTGTGTGCCAAATGGGACAGTTCAAGCTGTTCCACATCCTTGTTAATTCTTGAAATTATCAGACTTTTTATATGTTACCAGTTTGGCGAGTAACCATAGTTCAGAGTGTTTTCTCTCTGTGATTCTCCTATCATTGAGATGGAGTTTTAAAAAGAATTTCTATATTTTTTTTCTGCGTGATGACTATATGCTCCTTACTAATTTTTTCTTTTTTTTTGCCGGATTCAGTTTTCCTTATTTTTGGTAATTTCTTACAGATTATTGGTAAGAATCCTTTCTCTTATAAAATGTGCATATCTATTCTTCAGTGTGCATTTCTATTCTTCAAGTTCACAGTGCCTTTTTTGTGTTGTGAAGGTGCTTCTTGAAGAGCCAAAGTTCACATTTAAGTGCATTTAAATGTATCAAACTTACTTTCATTGTACGTACATTCTGTGCTTTATTGAGGAAGAAATTCCTTCCTAGTCCAGAATCATGAAGGTAGTTTCCTTTTTTTGAAAGTTACATGTACTTCTGCCTTTTATATCAGAACCTTTATTTAATAGACTTTATTTTGAGTAAGAAGTAAATTTCTCTTTTTCCAACATGGTTTTAATTCTGGCATTGTCCTACCATCAAGCACAAAATCTTCCAAACATCCTGCCTCCATTTTTCAGAAATGTTTCATTCTTCTTCCATATATATTTTAGAATCAGCTTTTAGAGTTGCATAAAAAATGTCAGGTGAAATTTTTATATCAACAGAATAATTCACTGACATTGTAGATTAATTTAGAGACATACTATTCTCACAATGTTGACTTTTCCTATTTAAGCATATGTACATATTCCTAATAGCCTCTTATGCTATTTTAATTGTTGCATCAACTATGCTAGTATCGTTTTTCATTTCTAATTGTATTTACCTCATTTTACTTTTCATGAATTTTTTTTTTTTTTACTTTTCATTAATCTTATAAGAAAATGATCTACTTTGCTGGTTGCCTTAAAGAATTACATTTTAGCCTTGTTATTTATCTTCATTAAATTTATCCTCTATTCTGTTATCTTTTTCTCTTCTTTGTGTGTATGTGTGTTACGTGCTGTCGAGTTGCCTTCAACTCATAGTGACCCTATGCATAACGGTTCTGAACCCTGCCCTATCCTGAGCCAATTTCATTGTCTCCAACAGACCTAATCCCATTTCTCCAGCCACTCAGTCAATCCATCTCATCCTGGGTCTCTCTTTCCTTTGCTGTCCCTCCATACTTCTAATGATGATGTTATTCTCCAAGGACTGCTCCTTCCTGGCCACGTGCCCAAAGTATGCGAGACGGAACTTCAATCCTTGCCTCCAGGGAGCAGCTTGGTTTCCCTCTCTCCCGGACTGACCTGTTTGTTCTGTTGGCAGTTCATGGTATGCTCAAAACTCTTCTCCAGCACCACAACTCAAAGGCACTGATTCTTCTTCTCTCATCCTTAGTCACTGTCCAGGATTTTTATGTGTAGCAAGTAATTGTGAAGACCCTGGCCAGTAACAGGCGCACCTTAGTCTACAGATTGACATCATTGCTCTTCAGTACTCTAGAGAGGTCCCTTACAGCAGACTTTCCACACTGCAATTAATTAATGTTTTGATTTCCTGACTGCTGGTGCCAAGAGTGTTGACTGTGGAACCAAGCAAGCTGAAGTTTTTGTTAATAATCTCAATATCTTCTCTGTCTATCGTGAAGCTGCCAATTGGCCCAGTGGTGAGAATCTTTGTTTTCTTGATGTTGAGCTTCAATCCATGTTGAAGACTGCAGTCCTTGACCTTCTGCAGCACACTCCTCTTGTTCTCCTCAGTTTCAGCAAGCAAGGTTGTGTCATCTGCATAATGTAGTCTGTGGATGATTCTTCCTCCAATCCTGATGACACATCCCTCCCCATCAAATTCAGCCTCCCGAGCAATCTGTTCTGCATATAGGTTGAAAAGGTATGGAGGCAGGATGAATCCCTGATGCACATCTTTCCTGATCCTGAATCATGCAGGGCTTCCTTGCTCTATTCTGACCACTGCTTCCTGGTCCAAGTGTAGATTTAGCTGCTACTTTAAGAAACAAACAATTGCCAGCCATTAAGTCAAAACTGACCCCTCTAGATGGTTTTTGGGGGGCTGGGAATCACACAGGAAGAGAACACCCATCTTTGTCCCCTGGAGCTGGTGGTAGAGTGGGACTTCTGGAGTCCCTACAGACCAGGCCCCCAGAGCTCCACTACTTCAGCTGGGTTGATTCTGCTCTTAAATCGGATACTATTATGTACATAAGGCCCATAAATTGAACAATGTAAAACAGTTTACTAGTAGCCTGGATACAGGAAAAGAATACAGTCTGTAGACAGACAGCTCTTTTCGTCTTTGCCTCCCAAGCACATTAAAGTGACAATAATTATTCTGTACATATTTATGTGGCTAACATAGGCAGAACCAGATAAACAATGTGGGTTAGCCATGTTACGATTAATTTGATCAATCTGGCTAGGCTATGGCATCAAGTTTGCCAAATAACTAGCTTTTGCTATGAAGGTATTCAAATGTGATTTACATATACAATTAGTTGACTTCAAGTATATCAGATTGTCTTTCGTAATGTGGGTAAAGCCTCTTCCAATCAGATGAAGACCTTGTGAGCAGAAGCTGAAGTTTCCCAAAGGGGGGTGGAATTCTGCCTCAAGCCTCTAACACTCTTTCAGGTTCCAATCTACCACCTGGTCTATAGATTTCACACTTAAGACTGCTAGAGTTTCTGGCCTGTAAATTTCTACCACGATTTCAATAACCATTTCCTTTCCTTTTGTCCCTCTGAGCCACACTCTGAATTACTTATTCAAATCAATTTTCCAGTTCACCAATGTTCTTTTCAGCTGTCTCTAATCTGCTTACATCATTGAACATCTAATTCCAATTTGTAGAGTCTTCATCTCGTAAAGTTCCATTGCTTTATTTTTTTAAAAAAACACCCCCAAAACTATCTTAGTCATTTTTATGTTTTCTTCTCTTATTTTCAATGCTTCTAAAAATGCTTTCTGAAACATGTTATAGAGTTTTGTCTGTTGGCTTTAATAATGAGGGCGCTCTAGTGGCGCCGTGGTCAGGAGTTGTGATGTCCCAGCTGCTCCAGGGAGAAAAATGGACAATCTCTTCCTCTGCAATTTACTGTCTCTGAAAACCTGGACGGGCATGAGTTGGTTCTGACTTGATGAAAACAACGCTTCAAATCATGAAGGATTTAGAGGTCAAACTCTGTTTCCTGTGGCTTCTGCTGGCGTTCAGTAATGGTGCCTTGTTTCCTTGCGCTCCGAGTTAGAGCTCTTCCTCTTACAGGTGGGCCTTTTGCTTGCTTTTATGAGTCAACCAGGGCTGTTAAGGATATTTACATTGTGACTCCATTAGAAAGGGATGCTTATGCTCATCTTTCTATTTCCCCCCAATGTTTCTCAAAGTATTTCTCCAATGGATAGAAGTCATCGAAGAGCATCTACATAATTTTTATCTGAAGGGTCAGAGAGCATATTATTCTTACTTTGGAGGCTATGGAGTAAGAATATGAGAAAGCTATGCTGCTGAAATATCTAACAAAACTTTTTACCACTTATATTTAGGTGACACTTACTCTGCATGCATTTGTCTGGGATTTTTATTTGGCCCAGAAAGCACCTATAACAAGAAAAGAGTGTCCTTCTGCAGTTTGGGTCCCATCTCATTTGCATCAGCCTCTCCTAGAAATCATTAAAGATTAAAACAGCACGATTATCATTCCTTTCAGTCACATCATGCAAGACTGAAGACCTTACAATCAGAGTGATGCACAAACCTGTGAGGATCATCTGGGTCACAGTTAGGAAGAAACTGTGTGATTGCTTCTGCCACTTCTTCATTTGACAAAACATCCCAGAGTCCATCAGTGGCCAAGATCAGCACATCATCTGCTCCGTGCTCATACTTGGAGAGATCATAGACTCTGACCTAAAAAGAACAGGAATACCCCTGCTTAAGAAGTTGGGAACACGTCTTCCAAACCTCACACATTACACAATTATTCCCTCTAAGAAACTGGCTTTGGATTCACCATCTCTTTTCCTGCTCAGCCTACTGGTTTTCAGGTATGCACGGTCATGGACTTGATTATGTGGTATGCTCTTAGATGGGGGCAGCCTCCATCTGCGACTTGCTTGTACAGACACGTGGAGCCAATATACAACTATGAAGGAGCCAAAGGGTGTGCTTAGTCATTGATAAGGAAGAAAAGGTTTGAAAACATAATAACTGAGGGGTTGTTTAGACAGTGCCTTAAGAGTGGATACTGTAATGGTTCATCCATTCAATAATCATTTAGCAAAAAAATTAACTTTGTGTTAGATTCTCTAGGTCCAAAGACACACAACAGCTTTCCCTGCTTCTAAGGAGCTCTCAGTATGTGAGGAAGCAGCAGCTAGGGCATGCTTCTTCGTAGTTACTGTGCATTCATTTGTCTGAGATTGAGGAAAACATCTTCTATTTAGTGGAGTCATTTGAAACACCTCTTGGTTTGCCTGCTCCAAGGCACAAGTGATTGAGCTCGTGTAATGATGGGTCTGCAACTGGGTTTGAGAACGTCCCCACAAGCTAGGTCAAGTTACAGAGAACACACACTTAGCTCGAATCTTCAAAGTGTATCTTGGCAAATGTTTTTTTCTCATATCTCTCAGCCTTGAAGAGCTTAGTTATTTCAACATCCCCATAAGCTCTTTGAAGAGTACAGGGCAGCCTTGGCCAAACTAATAAGAATGAAATAAGAACAAAAATGGAGCTTCATTTGGGTTTGGCCACAGCTGGTTCCTCCTAATTTGGTATCATTGGGATATTGGAATAAGCCTCTCTCTACACTACCTCATAACTGGAAGATAGAAGTAGGTCACCGTCATGCTGTGGCTCCTCCAGTCCCTCTCATTTGTTGTTATGTGCCGTCAAGTCAGAATCAACTCATAGCTGACCCTCCAACGGGTTTTCAAAGGCAGTAAATCACACAGTGGAGACTGTCCACCTTTCTCTCAAGAAGCAGATTTGAACCACATGCCTTTGGAGTTGCAGCACAATTCCTTACCTCCTTAGCACTAAGCCACCAGAGCTCCCTACCTCTCTCATTACTCTGCTGTGACACCAAGGTCCAGTGAGAGCTGTATGGTGGGAAAGAGAAAGGAGAGCGGAGGTAGTCATTGTTGTTCTCTCTCAGACTTAAAAGGAATATAAGAGGGCTACATACTGTTCAAATTCAGGTCTTGAAATACCCAGCCTCCCACTTACAAAAAGGTTTGCCCAGGCCCATGAAGCCCTGCTGTGGGGCTCGCATGGTGGATGAACAGTTAGCATAGGACAAAACAAAGGTCCCACACCTATTCATGAAGCCCTGGAACTCAAAGCAGCCTCCAGGTGCCTGGCTGGTGGCCTGTGGGCTGGATGCTGACAATTAGCTAATGGCTCAGCTCAGAACAACACTCGGGAAGAACACGCAGGGGTGCACTGTATTGGCTTTTAACATCTTCTAAAAAGGCACGCTCACTAAACGCTAAACTCACATTCTGAAGACACTGCCTTATAAGCCAGATTAAAGCGGGAAGGAGGAGCTATGTTCACAGCAGACTGCAAAGTCCTGAATGCCAGAGTTCCGTCCTCGTCCTTGGGCCACTGGGTTCACATGGTCTGATTTTCACTCTACCAAAAGCAACCAACCCCCACCTCTGCTTTATTTCCTGTGGTTTTTGGTGCAGTGCTTCTCAAATTTTAATGTGCATAAAAATCACCTGAGGAATCCTATTAAAATTCAGATTCTAATTTAGTGCAGCAGTAGCTGTAGCTGCTAAGTGTCCTTGAGTTGGCCCCCAGCTCTTGGTGACCCCCTGCAGCAGAATGCAATGCTAGCCGCGCCTGCACCATCCCCATGAGCAGCTGTGGATTAGATGGTTTCGATACCAAGTACTTGAGTTGGCAAATTTTTTGGAAGTAGGTTTCCAGGTTTTCCTTCCTCGTCTGCCTAGGAAGCTCCTCTCAATCTTGTTCCACCTGAAAAGCTACACACAGCTTCGACCACTGACAGACCATCGCCGTGAATAAAGTACAATGGTCAGGAGCAGGGCCTGAGACTGCGCGGCACTAATGTGCTCCCAGGTGATGCTGATGCTGCAGACACACACTCTGAATCCCAAGGCCAGTGAGGACTTCTAGTGGGCTGGGCTTGAAAAGAAAGGTACCACAGGCTCAGTGAATTCTATGATGCCTTTGTAGTCTATGCCTACAGGACACTAGTGAGCTTTGGTGGCCTAGTGGTAAGGAGCTGCACTGTCAATGCAAAAGTAAGCAGTTCAATCCACCAGCAGCTCCACAGGAGAAAGATGTGCTGTCTCTTCCCATGTGATTTATAGCCTTGGAAACCCATTAAAGAGTTAGCTACAAATGAGTTCCAACTATAGTAGAGTATGTTATTATTGACAGGGAGCTCTGGTGGTAAGATGCTGCACTGTAATCCCAAAGGCACATGGTTTGAATCCACCAGCTGCTCTGCAGGAGAAGGATGGGCAATCTCCTCCCATGTGATTAACTGCCTCTGAAAGCCTGCTGACGGGCCAGCTATGGCTCAGTTCTGACTTGACGGCATACAACAACAACTTATTGTAGAACTATCTTCGAAAAAAAAATTATTTTTTGGCTATAATCTACAAGCAAATTGCTAAAGCATACTTTTGTGGAATTATTGGGTGGATTTGAATCACCATCCTTTTGGCTTGCAGCCACTAAGGCTTTGTACCACTAGGGAACCATTTAGCTTTCTATCTGTCTGCCACTGAGTCAATTCCAACATACAGTGACCCTCTAATCAGTTTCCAAGGCTGCAGACTACAATGATACCGAGGATCCCTTGTGGACTCAAAACCAGAAGAGATGTGCTGTTTTCAGTTAGCAGTGAAACTGCTTACAGTCTATGCCACTGGAGCTCTCGGGCTTCTTAGATTATAAAACTGAAACCACCACCACCACCATTCACCACCTTTGAGTCAATCCAAACTCGTGTGTTGTGTACCACTGGGTCAGAACTAACACATAGCTGAGTCTCTAGCAGGTTTTCAGAGGCAGTAAACGGCATGGGAGGGGACTGTCCTGTCTTCAGAGCACTTGGTGGATTCGAACCACATGACTTTGGGTTGGCTCAACTTCTTATCACACTAACCCACCAGAGTTCTCTTTGAGAGTGTCTCTTGAGTTTCTGAGGCTGTTAATTATTGATGAGATTAAGGGACCACCAGAGATACACGACTAGAGTGATGTGTCCACAATCAAGGAATGCCAAGGATTTCTGGCACTTGCCAGCAGCTCAGAGAGGGACTTGGGACATATTCCCAAGAATCATCGGACCAGGCTAGCTACCAACACCTTGATTTAAAATTTCTAGAACTATGACAGGATGTTGTTGTTGTTATGTGCCGTCGAGTCGTTTTCGACTCATAGCGACCCTATGCACAACAGCCCTAAACCCTGCTCTATCCTGCGCCAACTGCACTGCCTCTGACACACCCATCCCGATTACCCCAGTCACCGAATCAATCCATCTCATAGAGGGTCTTCCCCTCCTGCACTGTCCCTCCACCCTCCCAGGCATGATGTCCCTCTCCAAGGACCCGTCCCTCCTGGCAACATGTCCAAAGTATGTCAGACGAAGCCCCAGAATCTTTGCCTCCAAGGAGCAGCCTGGTATAATCCTCTCCAAGATGAATCTGTTTGTTTTCCTGGCAGTCCACACAGGATACCGTCCTAATTTTTTTAAGTCACCTAGTTTGTTTTGTCCTGGAGAGGGTGACGCCAGAATGCTCCTTGGAGTCAAGGATTCTGAAGCTTCATCTGACATACTTTGGGCATGTTGCAAAGAGGGAGTGGTCCTTGGAGAGGGACATCATGTTTGGGAGAGTGGAGGGACGGCGCAGGAGAAGAAGACCCTCGATGAGATGGATTGATTCTGTGAGTGGAGTAGTGGGAATGAGGGTGTTTGAGATGGCGAGGTTGACATGGGATAGAACGGCTTTTAGGGCTCTTGTACATAGAGTTGCTATGAGTCGCAAACGACTTGATGGCACATAACAACAACAACAGTTTGTAGTACTTTGTTACAGCAGCCCTAGAAAACAAAACCAATATGGGGATACCTAGAGTAAGTTTCTGGGGTAACTGGAGCTCTGATGGCTAGCACAGGATAACAGTGGTGGAGATGCACAGTGGCCCAACTCTTTGCTTGAAGCTAAATAGTAGAGTCCACCCACCTTCCAGGTCCTTCTAAAAAAGGATCCCAGATCTGAAGATAACATCCACTTAATTTCAGGGCCTGCCCTGAAGTAGATGCCAAAACCTCCTCACGTGCTGTCTGTTGGCTCAAGTAATGAGGAGGGGCAAATTGTTGAGACTGATGTTGTCTTTTCCACAACTCAAATGGAAATCTCACCAACAGCCTGGGTGTGGGCTGACAAATACACATGCATGAGGAAACACTACTTCTCACTGCCATCAACAAATTGAATCCTTCCCCAACTCCATTATTTGCATTTGTCTCTAACACACACCCTTCTCTCTAATGCACACACTGCTCTCTAATGCAGTTTCATTAGCCAAAGTGAAAATCCTTTTTGATACCATTCTCCAAGTAATTTTTATGTAAATAATAAAAAGCTGGTCACAACCCTATTCCCAAAGGCACTCCCCAATTAACCTCCTTTTAGATTTTTACTGCCACCCTTTGTTTCCTGCCCTTTAGCCAATTTCCAGAGGATTCTGCCAACTTTCCACTTACAATTCGTGTCTTATATATTAACCTGTGATGCAGAACGTTTTGTGAAAATGCTTTCAGGAGAACTGGACTGCTGAGCAAGTCACCCCACGTCTCGCTCATCCTTGCGGGCAGTAAGGGATTCAAAGGATTCCAGCAGGCTTTAGAGTCGTGGCCTCTC